AGAGAGAGAGAGAGAGAGAGAGAGAGAGAGAGAGAGAGAGAGAGAGAGAGAGAGAGAGAGAGAGCTCCCGATGGGAAGTTTGGCAAAACTCGTTTAGGATCGAACAAGGTGAACACTGGGAATATCTGAACAGATGGAACATCATGAAGAATGTGGACCACTTCGGTGTGATTAACGATCCGGATGACTGTTATAGACGGACTGATCGTGATTTACAATCTGGACGACTGTTATCAACGGACTGGCTGCAGACAAAGTTTTGATCTGCCAAAGGTGGTTTATGGGTTTGAAGAACTCGGACGGGAAACAACAGACCCCCCTTTGATAATAAGGGGGGGGGGGAGGGGATTATTTTTTAGTGACATGATCGGTTTGCAGTTGGGGCTGATTTAGGCTGGCTTAGCAATTGCTCTACATAGACTGTTGGAGTCCCTTGAGGTTTTCATGTAGATTTTGAGAAGTTTTGGACTCGTATTGAAGTGGATGGGATGGATGGGACACTGAATCCGTTTTTCAGCATTAGCCGAAACTGGGTAATGGCCTCAGATGTACCGGGTTGAATTGTGAGGACCTTGACCTTAATCCATATCTCTGGAATACAAATTTACCGACTTTCCCAAAAAAGAAAAAAAGAGAAAAAAGGAAATGGGATTTGCGAAATACCACCGTAAGTTGAGATATATGCCAAAATGCCCCTGAAAGATGTGTGTAGAGCGGAATGCCTTTTTGGGCCGCGGGTGTGCAACTTTGTAATCTGGACCTCCCCGTTTGGGCCTTGGCCTTTCACAATAGCGCGTAGGAAAAGTTGGCAAGTACTGGGGCATTTTGCAAAGTTGGGTGGTACTCGGTAGGGGTATATTGCAAAGATGGGGGTCCAACCGACGCCAGGGGTATTTCACAAATATTTTTTTTGTCACTCTACCCACATCTTTTAGGGGCATTTTGCCATATTTGGAGGGTGTTTTGCAAATTATCCCCAAAGACGAAGAAGAAAGAGAAAAGAAACAAAAGTAGGTTGCCCTGGCGCCCGGAGAAACAACCTCTTTTTTTTTTTTTTTTTTTCCTGTTTTTGTACAACCCAAGTGAATGCTAGGGGTGCCTGCAGTGGACTTAGTGCCAACCAGCGGTGATAGTCCGCCTGATACCTCTGATCGGTATTAGCAGCCTTGCCCAACAAGGGTGCGAGTGTCAGTGTGATTTGGTTGTGTGTGGTGTGTGGGAGAGTATGCTGTTATTCGGTTGGGGGTGGGGGGCGATGAAAAGGGAGGTGCAGCTACTGGCAAAATGCTCGGTCTTTGCGTTATTCGGACCTCCACCGGCGGCCCCACCCCATCCTTCACCACCGTGGTTGGGGCGGGGGGCAACATGCATCTCCTCTGATGGCTGGAGGGAGACAACAAAGCTATATTCACAGGGGTCCCCTGTATAAACCTTAGGAGTAGTGGTAGGTAGGTAGTGAAGGTGAATTGAAAGAATTTGAAAGATGATGAAAGCTTTGAGAGAAGCCTGTAGGTTCCATCCAGTAGTGGGGAGCAGCACCTGCTGGAAAGCTGGAAGCGTCCCCGAACATTGTAATTGCTGATTGCTTAGTCATATGACGGTGATGACAACCTGCTGCATAGACCATCCACCCATTACCTATGTAGGGTGGTAGAACTGTCCAGCTTTCTGAGTTGCTTGCTAATCTGACAATCTACTTGGAGCCTACCAGTAGCTTTTCAGGCCTCTGGTATTTCACTGCGAGGCCACCTTTTTGGGCCTCTTCTATGGCACTGCGATCCATCTGTAGGGGATATCTTGGGGATTTCAAAATCCAAGTTGGGCTCTTTACGTGCTTTTTGGCGCCAGCCCGTCGAGAATGTCATGCGGACTCGTATAGCCTACCTACCGGGAATGGAACGAGTCCTTTTCTGTAGGCGGGACATCGTCAAAGGGTGATTTTCTCATCATCCACCCCTCTTACTGGTAGATCGTCCCGGCCAGGGCTTGTCGCAATTGCGCGGGGAGGAGCTTCGCCGTCTCGTAGCCTTCGAGGTGCATGCTCCTCCTCCTCTCCTCCTCTAAGCTACCTGGAGCCATTGCCACTGTACGTCGGCGCCGAAGGCATCATCAGTCAGCGAGACAGTCATCCTGGTGGTGCTGGTGGGCGCCGGCGTTCATTTCTCGCGCCTGGCCTCACAGCTACCAGTTCTGCCGGCCTTCACGTCCGTTCCCTCACGGGTAAGTTCATCCTTTGCTCCTCCTTTGGCCCTCCTCTCCATCACCTCCTCCATCTCCACGTTCATCTCTCCTCGATCTCCTCGTTTCTTCTTCCTCCTCGTTGTTTCTTGTATATTATTCGAACTGGCTATGGCAGCAACTTTGAAAATGTCGTGACTAGCATCGTTGTGCTGTGCATGAGTGACTTGGTCATGTTGTGCATGAGCGTGGCTGCATGGTCTTTTATGTTCTCTCTCTCCCTTCCTTTTCCGCCGTCTCTCGTTGTCTTCACCTTTCTGTGTCTCTTTCTCCTCCTTCGGTTCTCTTTTTTTCCTCCCATTTCCTTTTGCCTGCCTCCCTCCCTCCCTCTCCTTCTCTCTCCTTCTCTCCTTCTCTCCTTCTCTCCTGTCCTCCTTTTGACATGCAATTAATTAGTCTCGTCCTCTCTTGCCGCCGCTTCTCTGTTCATTTTGTCTAGAGGATAGCAGACTGATGACGAGGAAGGGGATGGAGATCGAACCGGTGTTGAGCGCCAGTAATAGCAGCGAGAGAGAGGGTGATGACTGGGGCAGGCAGGTGATGGACATACAGATAGCGGGACAAGGGCGAAAGGGGGAGGAAATGAAGCCAGAGGATTTGATTTTTTTTTTTTTTTTTTTTTTTTTTTGGGTTGCGAGAGGGATTGAATTGGAGATATGGTCGAGGGTGCGAAAGGGGAACGAGGAAGAGGAGGAAGAGGAAGAGGAGGAGGAGGAGGAGGAGGAGGAGGAGGAGGAGGAGGAGGCAATGAGAACAAGGGTGAGGAAAGGAGGGAGGAGGGGGTAATTTTTTTTCGAGCTCTTCCGTTTATTTTCCGTTTGAAGATAACGATGTTCCTTTTACGTTCCGTTAGTGAAAATACATGAAGCATTCTCCGTTTGAAAGCAAGGGTGTTCAACTTTTTTTCCTCTTGACGGTAAAAGAAGGCTGTCTATCCGTTTTTCCCTTTTTTTCCCTTTTTTTCATTTGTTTGATTATTTGTTTGATTATTTGTTTGTTTGTTTGTTTTTTCCCCCGTTTTTTTTCACCTGTTTTTTCATCATATGCTGATTCTCCCTCGTGGTAACTTCGTTTGTCTCCCCTTTTCTTTTTCGATCTCCTGCTCCCAACTTCCTCTTCCATTTCCTCCCCTTTCTTCCAGTCTCTCTCCATCTCCTGTTTTTCTCATGTGTATGCTATCGGATCTATTCACACCACGACTTTGAAAGCTGAATTTGGCGGCAATTTCAGTCAGATACACGCCGAATGGCCCTGGTGTGATTACGCCCTGAGTGTCTTTCTTCCCTTTACTCCCCTGCGCAATTGTCTTTGATCCGAGCAGCCGGATAATCCCGATGCATATTCGTTTGCGCAAGCAAACGGTCGCACAGGGCTGACCACTGTCAATTTGTTTTTCTTTTTTTCTCTTTTTTTTGTGAATGTTGCGGCTTCTCTCTCTCTCTCTCTCGATTGGTGGGTCCGATGTTCTGATGTTTTAATTTTTGTTTTGATCTGTGACAAAGAAAAGAAAAAAAAAAGCCATGTTCTTGGAACTTTGGACTTCTTTTGCCCATCATAATTAATTGGAAGGACCATCATAATTAATGTTCTGATGTTTTATTTTTTCTTTTTCTTTTTCTTTTGGGAATGACGGCTCTGATCCTCACCATCGCCACACCCATCATCGACGGCGATCGTCAGCACCGCCGTCCGATCCTCGACGTCTTTTTTTTTTTTCTTTTTAAGAAAAATGACGCCGGCCTTGAGATATCATATCATCATTATCATCATTGAACTGACCGGCCCCATGCAATTCAGAACTTGGGTCTGTATTTCAACAGTTCACGGGTGTACCAGCTGAGCTAGTCTCATTGGCACTCTACGCCTTTTTTTAAAATCTGTTTGAAAAGAATAACAAACCCATTATCGATCGTAGTGATCCTTAATTATGGTAATTCCAAAAAATAAAAAGAAGACCTGTTATGGTGATCGTCACTCGTGCTGATGACCCTAAACTTGTGTACGTTCGCTGCTGGTACACCCGTGAACTTTTTTAATTCCTCCTTTTCTCTCCTCCTCCCTCCTCTTCTCTCTTCCTCTTTCCTTGTATCTTTTCTCTTTAACACCACCGGGAGACCCCTCCCCCCCCC